TATTACTTCATCTTCCAAGGTCTGTCTTTACAAATAGACAGCTTTTTCTATAGTGGGAAATTTTGATTTTGTTAAAGTTTCTAACGAAACAATAACTGGAAATCCTGCATTAGAAAGAGACATTTCGATAAAGATACTAAACTGACAGCAAACGTTTTGCAGGTCTCTGTTAGATTAGTAAGAAATTAAAGATGATCACTGTATTTTAGTTTCTGGTTTGCAATCTGTGAGAATACTTTGACACGAATGTCTGTTTGATGACATCACTGTCATTGGATGCCTAGAGGTTCCCTTAATTTCATGTCAGATTCAAACTAGTGTTGGGAAAGAAAATTAATGGCATAGAGATTGCTCGAGTTTTGTGGGCAGCTTTCATGCCGATCATCAGCAAGTGTTATCATTTTGCCACTGAGCATGAGAACTTATGATGGAAATGTTGACTGGAAAAACGCAGACTGATACAATATTCATGTAATGTTACCAACACTGAATGTGCTGACATCCAATTCAGAAGCAACTTATTCAGATATGAAATACAAGTATAGGGACTACAAACAGTTAATAGTTGTTGAGAAGATGATTTATCATGATCACTGCTAAACATTTGTTTCTTTCACTCCCAAATACATGGAAGTATCTTTTTATTTAACTTTGAACAACTTAAGTGAAATACAGAATATGAATGGCATCCAGGCTGGTAATATCATTGCTTCTTAATTTTGCCACTGGATAATGGGCTCTTAAGACATTACCTCAGGATGGGAGGCTGAGGAATGGGAGTCGAGGCAGACTGCTGAATGATGTTTGGAGAGAGCAGAGAGGGAAGGGGAAGAATTAGGCTAGAGGTCAGAAAGAGACAGTGACTGCGGAATGGGATAGATGTAAGCCTTGCACTCCCAGCAGAGCCGAGAGTGGCAGCAACATGTTGAGTGGGACCTAGGGATAGAGACAGGAGATGGAGAGAGAGAAGCAATTGGCACAGTGAACTGTGGAACTTCACAGAATAAGTAGCCAAAGATTGTTCCTGCTACTGGATGAATGGGGAATAAGGGGACCCAGACAGGATTCACACTTGAAGAACCAAAGGTCAAGGGAGAAGGAAGCCGGTTTTACTGAGTACTTTTATGCCGAGGAATAAATTACTGCAAGTGGATATTGGAGTACAGACTAGACCACTTTTTAAAGACAATGATACAAATACTTGAAAAGGTCTAATTTGAGAAAACTGACAGAAATGAAATTACAACAGAGAATCAGTACATCATAGGCAAGGCAGGGGAAGTGAATTTCCTCCTTCTGTTCTTCAATATCTGTTGTTCTATGTAGAACCCAGGTCTGAACTAAACTCGAATGAGACAGGGAGAGATACCATAATGTTTTATAGACTTCAAGTGAACAAAACATTACCTGAACATACTGCTAGGGATGCTTCCAAACTTAATAGGCTGACCTGACCCCCACCACCACCACTGCTCCTTCTCTTCCCCCCCCCCCACCCCATTCCAGTCTGGGGTTCTCCTGGCAAGGAGCTGACGTCGGGCTAAACTGCAGTCTAACTGAATCAGAGACCTCTCCACACAAATAACCCAGCTCAGGGACTTCTGGATAGAAAACCCTGGAAGAAACAGGCTCTTCAGTCCAGGGAAAAGAAACAGATGTGAAAATATTGGAGATTAGATGTGGAAACCCCTCCTTGGAGCCTGCCTGATACTTTGGGATCCCACTGCACATGCCGGAACTGTGCTGTTCAGCCTTGTTTTGTAGTGCGCGGGAAACTTTATCAGTCAAACACACACACACAAACACAATTAAAACACAGGATAGCCACTGACTGGTTTCCCTTCCCACGTTAACACTTTATTTTCCCGAAGAAATTGTACAACATCCGTGCGGAGAGAGAGAGAGAGCTGTGTTGAGTATTGAGAATAAAAGCTAAGATATTTGCAGACAGTAACATGAAGGTGGAGGCGGTGCTGGAACGGATTAAATCCGCCCCTATGCCCGTGAGTAACACCGGATTTGGGGAAGAATGGGGTGCTAAAGCAGGACAGGACAGCGTCACTGCTAGATCTAGAAAAGAAAGCAGTGTCTGTAGCCACTGTAATTTCTTCTACAGGTAAAATTGGGACGTCATTGAAAGCAGGGAGCTTCTTCGGAGCTGGCGAATAGCCTGATAGAAGAGGCAACTCCCCAGCAGGGGGGCTCTGTGATCAGTCTCCTGGCTGCTTGCTGCCCGATGTGCTGAGGCTCCACGCCGTCGGCTAGCAGGTTAGGAAGTCACCCACTTTCAGAGTCCACCAGGACACCCAGGCGCTGTTTGACTGGATGGCGAATGCTCTCCCGCTGCCCTATATGGGGATGGGCCGGCGGGGGCGGGTGAAGTCTGGGCTGCCCAACACGCTTAGCTCTGTACTGCAGACACACACACAGAGCCGAGTGGAAAGCTCTCGGTGCGTTTTTAAAAGAGTCACATTGACAGACTGCCTGCCCCATTGCCAAAGGGTTGACGACTGACCGGCATCAGGCTCCGTTTCTGCTCCCCCCTTCCCTGCGCTGAATGAAACAAAAACGATAAAAGCAGGACGCGACCTAACATATGCCGGTCTAACTGCTCCCCCATCCTGGATTCTTATCCTGGGAAGAAGGTGCTGTCCTGTTGCGGATAGAGGCTGCACGATTCCTCCTCAGTCCCAGAGATTCCGGGACAGCCAATGTTTACAAATCGGGGGCGAGTGTAAATAAATCTCGAACAGATTCAACGAGTATTCATGTCCAAAAAAAAAGAGACGGAGCAGGGCTCAGTCAAAAACCTTAAAACAAAAACAGAAAGTCTGGAGAAACTCGGCAGCATCTGTGACGAGGGAGAAAAACACAACTAACGTTGCGAGTCTAGTGAGCCTTCTTCAGAACTGGACTCAAAACGTTAACTCTGGTTTTCATTTTATTCCGGTCAAAAGTACCTGATCGAGCAGAAGGACCAGATTGTTATTATTGAAGTAGCGATGTTAGCATTTTCAATGTAAAACAAAAAGAGGGACTTTAATCGCAACTCTTCCATCCCCTATCAAATATGTTCATTAACAAAATATTGTCATAACTGTAAGCGACAGCGACAAGGAATGGATGAATGTACCTAGTCCACTATCAGCCTGATTGATCGTACCAAATGACCAGCCGCAGTCGTTACCTTTACGCCTTTAAGCCCCTCCGTTTTATTTGTTTAACAATAAGACTTCTAGGAAAAGCCAAACAAACATCACATGTCGAAGATTCAAAGTAGAGGCAGGCCACACACATACCACCCCTGCTACTAAACATCCTCCAACTCTCAACTGATGAACTGTCAACATCATTAGTAGTTCACTAACTCTCACACACTCTACACAGTAACGGATCAGCGCTGCCTCCCAAACGCCAGACGAGACAATCCTCCCCACCACGCAGTTTCAATCTGATCTCGCTCATTTGTACTGTATACATCAAAACTGGTTAACAGCTAGGGAGGTGTCAGCCCGTTAGAAATAACCCCGAACCGTCTTCCTCCTGAACTAACTACCTTCTCCTCTCTCTCCAAACGTTTCAAAAGGGGGAAAAAGATGTTCCAAGGAAATGTCATAATATATAAAGTTTACTTTAAATAAGTTTACCTTAACGCTAATGTGTCATGTCATGCCTGGATTCCTCGTCACAGTATTCGTGGGAGGCAGGGAAAAAACTCTACTATCCTCCTGAAACCTCGGGGCAAAAAAAACCCTTCCGAGGAGTGCAAAGGAAAGATGTGCAGACCACAGTGTGGGGGCAGGTGGTAGAAAATGGGGTATGGGCGTGAGATCTGAAGGGGCTTGGTATACAGCCCTAGGGGAATGGGAGCTCAGTAATTTCTTTTATCTCAAAGTATACTTTATTCATAAATATAGTCTCTAAAACAGTTCGATTCCGTACAGTAGCATATGAAGAAAACAAACAAAACATTGGAGTTTGACGCTATCCAACAAAAAAAAATCAAAGGCACTGCAGATGTTCTGAGCTCAGTTGTTCAACGCGCGATTACTCTGTCTTGCCTCTCCCCCGTCCCCCACCGCACACACATCTCCCTAAAATACAAAGCAGTAGTTTCCCCACGTCTACGTAGAGGTTATAAATACCGGTGAGAGGTGGCAGGATTGGGAGCTGCCTGTTGGTGCGGAACATTTATATAGAGTCGGGTTTGGGGAAGGGGGTGTTGCTGTGGGGGGTGGGGGGGATTGGAATGGATTAAATCCGCCTCTGATTTGGCCGCATCAGCGAAGGGGCGGCGCTAACGCAGTGCAACAGAACACAGACCCCGTCGCTAAATCCAGGGGAGAAACGCCTCTCTCTCTCTCCCTATTCTCCAACTCCCACTCCCCCCATTATATTTAGGTAACACCAAGGACATGTTATGGAGCTCGGGATGGGGCTCCGCTGTTTCCCGTTAGCCCCGTTGACAGGTAGTCAGACCCACGCAGGGCCTCGTATCAGACCCATTCCGGGAATAAATGGGATTGAATAAAGCTCTGTGCTGAAGCAGAAACAAAATGAGACGCGCCGACACCGAGAGCCCAAACTGCCCACACCAACTCACATTTCAACAGCGTAACACCATATAAACAAAGCGGCCAATCCGTCCCCCCCGTCTACAATCCCTGAGAATATTTCATACAGGTGTCTCTGTCGACAAGACATCAGCCAAACTGGAGGAAACGACCCAGGCGTTTTCCCTCTCCATACCTGCTAACACGCTTTAAATCGTTTATTTGAAAGTGGTGCAAATATTAGCCGGGCTCCCACTGAGCCGGTAGCCGAGGGAAAAAAAAATGAATCAAGAATTCAGCCAGTGTCATTCACATCCCCTGCTCACACTTAATCTTCCTCAGACAGATACAGCTCACTAGATGTATCGTGGGAATACTGGGGTCATTTAAAGGTGTTTATTTTTCAAAGCAAATACGACAAATCTATTTCGAGCAAGTCAAACTCACCAGAGAGCGATTCTGTCCTTAGGGTAGTCTAGTCTCTCGATGCAACCCAAATAGTAGGGCAGTGTGTGCGCCGCGTTCCGGGCTATGATGGCCAGCAAAACCTTCGGCCTTTGTAAGGCCGACTCCTCCAACAGGATTTCCTCTGGAAAATGAGCCCCATCGTCTGCAATCGCGGTCACCAAGAGCAGCAGGCAGAGGAGAGACATGGGGAGATGTGTGCACGCAGCCATGTTGTAGTAGGTGCTCTTAAAGCGAGGCTTCCTATCCTGTCTTGACGAGCACCGAGCTAGCGCTGACTCCCTCCTCTCTCCCTCTCTCTCTCCTTTGACTTTTATCACCCTGTGATCTGCATACACTCTAAAGGCATCCAATAGACAAACATGCTTCAGGCAGACCGACTTGGCACGAATCTGTTGCCTGGATTTAAGTACCTGCAAAACTCACTCCCGAGTAAAGGGGATCACAGAAGCAGAATGATTGAGCAATATTTTGCTTTTATCACAACAAATCTAACGCGTAGATGACTTTGTTTATTCATTGCCTTCTTTCTTGCTTTCTCTCTCTCTTCAGGTGCCGTTCAGTTTTTAGGCGCCGATTTTTTTGAAACTCTTTAAACTTGTCGAATGCATTTAGAGTGAACAAAGATTTAGCAAAGCGAATCCAGTCACCGAGTGGGTGAAGGGAGGGGAGGAGAAATTCCCTCAGAGACTAATCAAATTTGAGTTGCGAGTAAAGGTTGGGATACTGAAACACTACAGCACCCCGCCCCAAAGTATGTCATAATTCAATTTACATCGTATGATGTGTGATTTTTTTATCCCGAAATAACAAATTCGCCCCTGGAAGCAGAAACTTACTGCCACAAATCACCTCTCCCCTCTCATACAGCTAATACCCTACAACAGACAGTGTCAATGTTATAGTCACTCAGACTGCATTACAATGGAGTCAGAAATCACAGGTCATCAAAAACACGAACGCAGCAAACTTGGTGCTTCTCCAGCTAATTTTAAAAAGGGAGATGGGGGGAGGGTTAATGGTTCCATGAGTAATTGCAGTGTGATAATGCTGCTCAGGAAGATCTCACATTAGATCCCTGGGCTGTGCTGTGTTACCTGATCTCATTCAGATTGGCAATTACACAGGTTTACATGGTATATATGGTATAGAAACAAACCATTTAGCCCAACCAGTCCAAATGGGGGATTGTGCTCCCTCCACATACCCTTCTTCATCTCTAAATCGATCATTGTACCTGGTATTCACTTCGCTGTCATGTTTCTTTAGCTTCCCTGTAATTGTATCTACACTATTCATTTTAACCACTCCCTCTGATAATGAGTTCCAACTTCCGTTCACTTCAGGTTCAACACTTTTTTGATAAACAAATTTCTTTCAGATTCCTTATTAGTAACCTTGATGACCAATTTATGTTGTTTTCTTCTGGTTATGATCCACGCCACAACAGAAAACATTCTTTCTGTAGCCATCTGTGAAAACCTTTCATAACTTTTAGACATCTTTCAGGTCACTCCTCAAGTGACCTCCCTATTCCTTCTACTGAAGTGTACTCTGCATTGAACTTTATTTGCCAATTATTTGCCTAAAAACACTAAGCTTATTATTGCCCTCCTGTAATTTGTTGTGGTCCTCCTTAGTATTGGCTACCCTCCCAAATTGACACTATTCACAAACTAGAAATAGTATTTTTGATTCCAGAGTCTAAATTGCTAATGTACGTTGTGAACAGCATCAGTGGTTCCAGTATTGACCATTGTACAACACCACACACCACCTTCTGCCACTGTGAATAACAACCCATTACTTCAACTCTCTGCTTTCTGTCTTGAAGCCACAGGTAATCTGTTGTGCTATTGTCCCGATTCCACAGGCTCTGACATAATGCATTATCCTCTGGCACCTTGTTGAAGGTTTAGCAAATGTCTTCCTCAGCATCAGCAGGCCATGGAATGGTTAAAAAAGACAAAGATCCTATTTTAAATGTCATCTAGTTTAGTCAATCATTTTCATCATTGGCAAGAAAATTATTTGCTATTGATCCAAGATTGCCCTTGACAAGTTGTTGTAAGACTTCTGAGGAAAAGTCTGTGATACTCTGGAATGACAAAAATCGAATAATGATGCAAAGCAAAAGGACATGGTAATCAAATAAGTAAAGAACAAAAATCAGGTCAAGAAAAGGTATAAATAGAAAATTGCTGAATCATCATCTTTGAAAGTGGATGTCTTAAAAAAATGTGCAGGCAGAGGTTAAGATCTGATCAATGTTGAGTCTGGAAGGTGTGAAAGTGTCTAATTGAGAAATGAAGTTAGATTGGGAGTAAACCAGAGAATTAAAATGACAATTGATCATAAACACAGTCATGCTTGTTTGGGGAAAGATAAGTCTCAATCTGTGTTTGGTCCCACACCACCCCAGTGCAGTGGAGACTGCACTGTCAGCAGCAGATACAAATTGAGATACGTAAAAGTAAAATGTAACTACATTTGGAAGGCGTGTTATGGGTCAGGGACAGTGCAAAGGGGAGGTACTGCTTCCTCAGCAATCACATGGAAAGGTAACTGAGAAGGGGAGGTATTGGTGGACATGATTGAGGAATGGAGCAGGGTGTCATGGAGGGAATGATCCTTTTGAAATGTTTGGGAAGGAGGGGGAGGCAAGATGACTTTGTAGATGACAGAAATGGTGTTGGATGATCCATTGCCTGTGAAGGCTGGTGAGTGAAAGGTGAGGACGATGAGAATGCTATTATTGGGTTGGGGTTGAGTGGAATCAGTGAGAGCAGCTGTGAGAAATGAGGTGGACATGGCTGAGAAGGCTGTCAGTCACAATGGTTGAAGAGAAATGAAGACATATTGGAAGCTCTGATAGGGGAGGCTGTACTATCAGAACAGATATATCAGAGAGGAGAGACTGGGAAAATGGAATTGAGAGTGAAGGGAGGTGCATTGTGGCAAGCTGTGGCACTGAATAAGCTTACAGTGAGTACCTATACTGCTGACAGCTTATCACTACAAATGGAGAGGGAGAAGGTGAGGAAGTTAGGGGAAGAATCAGAGGTGGATCATACGGAAGACAGAGGGATGGAATTTACAAACAAAATTGATTAAACTTTCCAGTTTGGGGCAAGAGCAGAATGTAGCACTGATACGCCATTAATCTGAGGGAATGAGGGCGAGGGTCTGATGAGCATAGATGCAGAATAAATTCCACATATCTAACAAAAAAGATAACCGTAGCCAGGATTCATGCAGCCTGCTGTAACTGTACCATATATTTGGAGGAGGTAAATGGGGTCAAATGAGAAGTGACTCAATGTAAGGAAAGGTTCAGCCAGGTACAGGAGGATGGCAGTGGATGGGGATTGGTTGGGCTTCTGTTCAAGCATGTAACAGAGATTCCACAGCCGCCTAGTTGGGCATGCAGGCAAAAGGAAATGGGTATCAATGATGTAAAGCAGTCAGATATGGCTGGGAAACTGGAAACTATTAAAGTGGCATACATTCTTGGAAGAGGTAGAGAGAGAAGGAGGAAGAGATTGGATGAAGTGAAAAGAATTGAGTTGAGACAGAAGGAAATAAGTTCCATCAGTCAAGAACAAGTTGAAATGGTGAATCCACTAGGTCAGTTCTGTTTGTAGGCCTTGGGAAGAAGGTAGAAGCAGGATATGGAGGTCCTTTGGGTTGATGCAGAAGGGAGATGAGGTCAGTGACAACCTAGGATATGATCACTTAATGTTTGATGGTGTAATCATGGTCTAGGATGAGGCAGGAAGAGATGCCATAGTGTTGATGTTGTGTTTCTACAAGTTAGAGGATAATTCACCAAACAACAGTAGTGGCAGCCTCGCCAGCAGGTTTAGTTACAAGTTTCAAGTTGAACCTGAGAGTGGCAAATATTAGTGGGAAACCAGGAGATTGGGAAAGTTTTAAAAAACACTAAAAATTGGTGACAAAATTAACAAAGAGGGAGAAAATAAACTTTGAGGGTAAATTTGCAAGTAATATCAAGATAGACAGCAAGAGTTTCTTTAAAGATATGAAAAGGAAGAGAGAAGCCAAAGTGAAAGGAGGTCCACGAGAATAAGAGGCTGGGAAACAATAATGGGCAACCAGGAATTGGCAGAGAAGTTGAATAAGTACTTTGCATTAGTCTTCACAGTAGAAGGCACTAATACTTACTCCAGTTTTGAAAAAGGGTCACTGGTTTCAAAATGTGAACTCTGCTTTCTCTCCACAGATGTTGCCAGCTCTGCTGCATTTCTCCAGCAATTTCTGTTTTTCTTCCAGAGATAAAAGGACTGTCTTATGAGAAGAGGTTGAGTAGGATAGACCTGCACTCACTGGAGTTTTGGAGATTGAGAGATGACCTGATTGAAGCATACAAGATTCTTCAGAGATGTGGCAGGGGGTAGATGTGGAGAAGTTGTTTCCTCTTGTGGAAGAGTCTAGTACCAAATGACATAATCTCAGGATAAGAAGCCGCAAATTTAAAACAAAGATGCAGAGGAATTTGTTCTTTCAGAGAATAATGAATCTCACAGGTTTGTCATTAAGTATATTCAAGACTGAGATAGTCAGAATTTTAATCAGTAAGAGAATCAAAGGATAAAGGTGAAATAACTCCACAGAGGCTGGTATCCTGTTATTTATTTACACGCGCGTAGTACTTGACACTGGTCAGGCTTCCTCAGAGCCAACTCTCAGAGTGAACAGAACGTATGACACTCTGTTTATATCTGTCAGCCAGGACTCCATGATTGGACCAGATTAACAGCCCCAATCAGGAAACTCATAGTCTATGATGTCCACCTGGCTGACCTCGTTATAATCACTACATTTCCCCTCCCCCACTTCTAATTCTGGGGATGTAGGCCTGTTCTTTTTTTGTAGCTCCTCCTGCGTGTGGTTCCTCCGACTCAGCCTCGGATACAGGCAACATGTACTGGAGCACAGCCCACCTTTTGCACCCAGAGCATCTCGGAAGATATTCATCCTCGTCTTCAGGTGGTAAAGGGGTCGAGACTGTGACATTCGCCATGTCCACCTCAGACTCTGAGGTTCCTTCGATGACGGGGGGGTGGGAGAACCAAGGGTACCGACAGCCTTTCTGGCTGTTCTGAGGGGCCTGGTGTGTTCTGCTCCTGCTCCCTGTTTGTGAGTTTCCAGCTTTCATGTGGTCCACGTGTTTGTTCAGGACCACCTTACCTACCTGAACTTTGTAGGTCATTGAACCTGACCTCGGTTTGACCATGCCCGTTACCCATGCAGGGCCATTCCCATGGTTCTGGCATCAAACCTCCTCTCACTGAAGTAAACTATCTCTCTCACATGGCAGAGTCTTGTGTCCAGTATTGGCATTCCTGATGCCAGTTCACCCTCAACCCCCAAGTCTGGAAAGATCAGATTTAACATGGTGGGGTGTCTTATCCCCATTAGCAACTCTACTGGAGATATCCCTATAGTTGCATGAGGGGTGGTCCTATGATAAAATAGGAACCAGGAAAGTTTGGTATCAAGTGAGGCTGTAGGACGTTTCTATAAGTCTGTTTTCAAAGTTTGGAATGCTCTTTCTACCAGATCCTTGGATGATGGATGGTATGGAGCTGTCCTTGTATGTCGAATGCCATTCAACTTTAGGAAATGCTCAAATTCTCAGCTGGTTAACGATGGCCTGTTGTCTGAGACCCACATTTCCAGGAGTCCGTGTATTGCAAAAGATGCTTGCAGCTTTTTTATCGTCGCCCCCGTGTTTGATGAATGAACTCTATGCACATCTGACTACATTGAATGGGCGTCCACAATGAATAAGAACGTTGAGCTCATGAAAGAACCTGTATAGTCTATGTGCAGCCGAGTTCAGGGTTTACCCAGCCAATCCCGCGAATGTGGGGGAGCTGCTGGGGTAATTTTTGTCCTTTTTGGCACTCTGGGCATTGTCCCACTGAAGTGGCTATATTGGCATCTAATCCGGGCCAGCAAAAATAACTTCTCGCCAACATTTTCATTTTGGAAACCCCCGGATGACCCTGTTGGAGTTCAGCCAGTATCTAGCAGTGACTTTTGCTTGGGACAATCACTCTTGCTCTACAGTGATCTGGTCTCACGGGTGCAGAAAGGTTTCAACTCTGGTTGTGATGCCCCTTTTGTTTCCCGATCACCACCAGCTGTTTTAGTTGTGCCAGCACCAGATCTTTTCGCGCCCATGGTCTGATATTGTCAGCAGTTACCGGAAACGTGCCCAGAAAGTTTAAAACCAGAACGGACTTTTCCAGTGGAAGCACCATTTGTGGTGTATCTGCCAGCAGGAGGCAACTCAATGCATCCGCATTTGCTATTTGGCCTCCCGGATGGTGTTCCAACTTGTAATTGTATGCACTTAGAATGACAGCCCACCTTTGAATTTGACCTGAAGCCATGAGTGGCATGGCCTTGTCCTCTGTGAGTAGTCCTAGCAGGGGTTTGTGGTCTGTTACTATTACAAATTTACATCTGTAAAGTTACTGGTGGAACTTTCTCACACAACATGACTGTCAAACCTTCCTTCTCTATCTGGGCATATTTGCGCTCTGCATCAGCTAAAGTCTGGGAAGCACACGCTATTGGGCATTCCTGACGATTGAGCCACCTGTGGGCCAACATTACCCCAGTACTGTACAGGGAGGCATCTCATGTCAGCACCAATGAGTGCATCATTGTGTGATGATGATAGCTGCCTCTTCACTTCCCTAAAGACTACGTCTTGATTACGAGACCATTTCCAAGGCTGACCCTTTTTCAATAGTAAGGGTGCTAGGATGGAGGCCAGGTTACATATGAACTTTCCATATTAATTCACCAACCCAAGGAAAGTCCTAAGCTCCTGTACAGACATAGGAGCTGGGGCACCTTTGATCACCCTCACTTTACCTTCCAATGGGTGTAACCTGATCTTGTCAGCTCTGTACCCCAAGTAGGTCACTTGGAGTGCCTGGAACACACATTTTTCCCTTCTGTTCAGGATGTATCCTGAATGAGGCTATACAATTGCCTTCCCTCAAGTGGTATCTCCCAAGTTCAGTTAGTCTGGCGAGGATGTCCACTTCTCTCTCTCCATACCCTGTAACTTATATGCTTCACTTACTTCATTTTTAATGATAGAGCAGTTGTCGTGCCTGTTTGAAGTCCAGTTGGGCTTCAGTCAGTCGGTGCTTTTGCATGGTTACATCATTAATTCCACATACCAAACAGTCTCTCAACAGGTCATTAAGGATTAAACCAAAGTCACATCCCTCTGCCAGTTGTCTTAACTACGTCAAAAATCCACTAGCTCTTGAACTGCAAGTAAAACCAATAGTGTCTCAGAATTAGAGGATGCTTGAGGTAGTAATATACCTTAACCAAATCTGTCAACTCTTGAAAGGTTTTAGTATCTGGTGTCTCCAGAAATGTTATGCTCCTAACAACCGAAAAAAGCTGCAGGTACTCAACTGTCAGGAGAATTACTGGTTACTTTTCCTCTGCCCAATGTCAGAAAAATGCGCAGAAAAGAATAAAGCATTCTTTCCACCTACTGGGTCCAGTCTTCGATGGCAGGATCGAATGAGTCAAGCTTATCAAATAATGGCATCATGCCGGACATGCTTACTCCAACTCAAAGATGTCTGTTGTGAGTAAATTTCTTCTGGAGGGTAATTTTTTCTCTCATGGCCACTGAAATAACTTCATGGAGGCCGGTATCCCATCACCAAGTCACCCTTTGTTTCCACAGGCATAGTACTTGACACTGGTCCAGCTTCCTCAGAGCCAGCTCTCAGAGTGAACAGAGGCTGATGCTCCTGTTTATACCTGTCAGCCAGGGCTCCTTCATTGGATCAGGTTAACAATCCCAATCCAGGAACTCATATTCTATGATGTCCACCTGGCTGACCTTGTTACTATCGTTACAATAGGGAACATGGATTTGAGGATTATCAGATCAGCCATGATATCACTGAAGTGGCAAGCAGACTCGATGGGCTGAATGGCCTACTTCTGCTCCTATGTCCAATGGTCCAATGGTCCAATGGAATGCTACAAAGGAAATCATGTTCGGCATGAATTAAAATGAGAGACAAATTGGAACATTAAAAATAAATAGATAGTCAGCTGTTTTGCAATCAAATACAAAGGTTGTTTACTATATTGACAGGAGATTTAAATAAAATAGAATAAAATATAGACCTCACGCCAGAGATAAATAATCTATATTTCTGATGCTGGCAGATGAGAATCTACAGACCTCTGTTGGGGGGGAAGTCACGACCTCTGCGTCTGTCCCCTTCTACCCCCAAAAAATGAGTAAAGTCCTGTAGGGTTTATCTGAATCGTCAGAAAGCCAAAGTGCAAATATACATTTCTTCAAAGACAGTATGTATGTTTCTGCTAATACTAAGCCTTGCGGACAGATCACATTAGAGATTGCAGAGTCGCTGACCTATGTGGTTTTCCAGCAGGAGCCAAATTCTGTCCTTCAGTGAACAGGTAGTATTTGCTTATATAAAGGAGCATTGTAATTTTGGACATAAGTAAGATATGTTGAAGACTGAAAAGCATGAAGAATTTGGAAACAAAGTTAGAATATAACTTTTGGAGTTGGAACTGATGTCTGGGTTTGAGCAATTCAAGGAAAAATAAAGCCATGCTTCAGATGTGGTTGACAAGTAAATTTAAAAAAAAAATTCTTCAACATTTTCATGAATGTTTTTTTAACAAATGGCAGAAATCTAAATTTAAAAACAAATCGTGTTGAATTTTTTTCCTTGAAAATATATTGTATTCATAAAATTTGTAAAGGTAGCAGTTTGAATTTGACATTACATAAAGTGTAATACAGATCAGTTTCTTGTTGAAAGTGCCTCATTACAATCACCATTGTATTGGGAAGGCAATGGTCTAATGGTATTTTTGCTAGACTATTAATACAGAATTAACTAATGTTCTGGGGGCTCGGGTTTGAAACCCACCATGGCAGACAGTGGAATTTGAATTCAATAAGGAATCTGCAATTAAGAGTCTAATGATGAACATTAAACCATTGTTGATTGTCTGGAAAAACCCATTTGGTTCACTAATGTCCTTTAGGGTTGACTCTTAACCATCCTGTGGGCAATAAATGCTGGTGATGCCTACATCTGATAAGAGAATACATTTAAAATAAAAATTTATATTTAAAATAAAAATTTAAGTGACACTTTTCCTAGCAGATGATAGGGCTACTGTCTCATTAAAGAGAGACCAGTGGTGGTTACCCTGAAGGTCATCAAACCTGAGGCCAGGGAAGGGGTTGAGAAGGAGATTCCTCTATGGTAACCTCAGTCAGTGCAGGAATTGAATGCTCACTATTGGCATCACTCTATCACAAACTAGCCATCCAACCTACTGAACTAACCAACCCCCACAATCATCATTACTGATTGTACTTACAACGTATTTTACATTTCATGTCACATACTCTCAGATACATACAGTTTAATGGCTTCTACCTGGGTTCTAACCCCTCAGTATACTATTTTCACCTTTAAAACAAGACTGTATTCTAAGAAGAAAGACTGATATAGGGTTTTGGGGGGCAGGGAAGGTGGGATATCTTCCATTAGGTGACCTATTTCCTCCCAAATGGTGAAGTAAAATTTCTCTTTAAGAAGCTCCCCAGGTATTTTCTTTCTTCACCCGTAACCTGACCTTACATTTATGATTTTACCAACGTACAATTGAACTAAATAAACTTGCACAAGAGTAAACTACTTTTCATGCCTGAGCCCATATAAACATTCTGATGTTCCTGCAATCTTTGCATTACAAACTACTGCCACAAATTTAGCAATTACATCTAGATAACATTTGCACAATGTCTGAAATATTAATCCCCCATGATACATTCAAAAATAGCCAATTTGTTTTAGACCTCTAGATCCTTGAAGCATTTATTGGTTACTTCCCTGAAGTTTATCACATATATAGTCAACAATAAGAAATTTCTTTAGTTCTTTTGCAACAACAAGGGAGATCTAAATGGAAAATGAGAGAGGTGAAATAAGAGAGAACTAGAAGGAAATAAATAGAGACAAAGAATAATCAGGTATGAAAGCGGTCCCAGGAACTAAAGCAACGTGAGAAATGGAAACTGCTGCCAAAACACTACCACTGCATATCAGTTTCTTTTCTGGGTATATTCAGTGGTCCCAAAACTATCATGTTATTAACTCCGCTACTTTAGCATGAATATAAAAAAAAAAAGAGTACAATGAACAAATTGAAGTATCTTCTCGAATATTGTTCTTTCTGTAGGACAGTCATTACACTGAATAATCGTCCCTTGTTGTAATGATCTTTTGCTGGCCTACTTCTAGTTGAAAAGAGGTTTCAGATTACTTCATTGACTACATCCAATAATATTCCCTTTTCAAGTGCCTGTTTAATATTGAAAACCAGGCAAAGAAGTGTCTCTGAGGCAATTCCTTTTGAAAGGCACTACCAAAGTTGCTTTTATATTACAGTCTGCATGTGAGACATTCCAGTCAATGAGGATACTTGGAATTATGCATATGTAGAGTGCATTTATCAATATTAATATTTTCAATTTTGGTTTCAAAGCTTTTCTTGCCCTTTTTCTACAACCTCATCTCTTCTTTCGACTGTTCCAAGTATTCTGCATGCTTCCAATTTTGTCATCAATAAAACGGAAAATAAAGGCTGGATAAAACAGATTACACAACTAAAATCAGAATCCAAAGTGCTATGATCAAGAAAATGAGAATTAACCTCAATGTCTGCATCAAACTCTCTACTTTGCTACACCACAGAAAACCAGGTGTGGCTCCATTTCAACTTGTTGAAGTTATGTTAATTATTTGCTATTTGGAAATGAGAACATAGCCAGACACAGACGCAGTTCTCATTGAGTTGTCCAGCGACAACATAAGTGGGGTCCATCTGCCGATCTTTTGAAATTTGCCAATTTGAACTATGAGGACCCGAGCTTTGTTAGGGGTCTGGTGCTCACAAAGCTGGCCAAAATATTTATCTATCCAGGATAATCTTGAATGAGCCTCGTCTCTTATGAGACAGGTATTCACATCAACCTCAGAACAACTATTTGCAGTTCGGTGCTTGTGCTGTAATGCTTTTGCAACTCTAATTTTCTAATGCTTTAAACTATCATCTTGTCTTTTGGGGGTGCCAACATGCGGCCAGCTTTGCTATCACACACCAGTCCTCACATCTGTGTGCGGACAGTGAACATTTACTATTGGGGATTATCACAGCTGAGACCAAGACATCCTTTATTCACCATCCACATTATCAGTCCCTTGCAGGATTCACAAAAGTACAAATTACTTAACAGCATAGAACAGGTTATTTGGTCTAAACTGGCATTTACTCTCTATGAAAGCCTTTTCCCCCACTCCCCTGCATCAAATTCCTTTCTCCCTCATTTCCTTACCTAGCTTGCCCTTGAATGAATTTAAATGATTCATCAGTTCTTCTCCCTGTGGTGAAAATTCTCTATTCTAACCTTTCAATGAGTCAAAAAGATTCTCCTGCATTCCTATTGAGCTTATTATGACTATCTTATATTGATGGCCCCTATTTCTGGCTTTATACATAAGTAATAATATCTTTCTATACCTATGGAACGAGTTTATAATCACGAAGATATTGATCAGGGCATCCCTTAATCTTCTCTTTTCCACAAAGAAGAACCCTAAATGGTTTAATGTTTCTTGATAACCTCTCAGTTCTGCTAGGTTTAGTATTTTTGCGCTTATTTTCCAGTACTTTGATATCCTCTTTATGACATTGAGGTCAGAACAGCTCACAGTGCTTCAATTATCATCCAATCAAGGGTCTATGCTGATTTATTATAACTTCTCTGCTTTTCAGTTCTAACTCTCACAAAATGAAACCAGCCTATTTGTTTCTGTTTCTTTTAAAATGTATTATTAAAATGTATTGCTTCTTTTGTGATTTGTGTAATACCATCACAGATCCTTCTGGTCTTCTACCTGATCAAAATACTTATTTTTTCCCAAGGAATATAAGCCTCTTTGTCTGTGCTATAAACCTCTCTGTAGAGAAGTCAATTCTCCAATTGCATAACCACCTGCAAGTTTATAATAATCTTCCTGTGTTTTATGGTAGTCCTCTGTATTAAATACATCTTGCCATCAACCTCTAAATTTAGTCCCTCACACAGAAATTAAAAGTGTACACTGGATACCAAACAAAACATTTCAATGAATCACTTAATAGCACAAACGAGTAGAATTTTGACTGACTTTCTTCCCTCTGCGGCAACTGGATATAGCACTTGGGGCAAATGGGATCATAGACCTAGGTTTAGAGTCAAACAGAATGGAAACAGACCCTTTGGTCCAACCAGGCCATGCCAGCCATAATCCCAAACTAAACTAGTCCCATCTGCTTAAATTTGGCCCATCAAACTCCAGAGATTACTTACTTATGTACTTATCTAAATGTCTTTGACTTCATTTGATTTATTATTGTACATGCACTTAGGTACAGTGAAAAGTTTTGTTTTGCATGCAGTTCGGGGATATCATACCATACAAAGTGCATTCAGGTAAATGACAGAACAAAGAATCAATGTTATGGCTACATAGAAAGTGCACAGAGAATGAGATCAACATTAAATTTAAAATTTGAGAGGTCCATTCAGAAGTCTAATCTCGCTGGGAAGCTGTTGAATCCATTCGTACATGCATACAGACTTTGAGATCTTCTGCCTGACATAGGAGGGCGCTGGAAGAGTGTATCAGCAGGGTGGAAAGGGTGTTTGATTATGTTGGTTGCTTTCCCGAGGCAGCAGGAAGGAAAGATGGAGTCAATGGATGGAAGGCTGGTTTACGTGATGGACTGGGCTATGTTCACGACTCTCTGTAGTTTCTTGCACTCTTGGGAACAGCAGTTGCCAAACTACGCTGTGATGCACCCAGATAGAATGCTTCCTATAGTGCATCTGTAAAAACTAGTGGACATGCCAAATTTCCTAGGTCTCCTAGGAAGTAGAGATTTTGTTGTGCTTTCTTGACCATTATGTTGATGTGGGAAGACCAGGACAGACTGTTGGTGATCATTTTAAATGCCTTTTCATGTTGTAACTGTACCCCATCCACCACTTCCTCTGGAAGTTCATTCCACACACAAACCATTCTTTGTTTAAGAAAATTGCCCCTCATGTCTGTTTCTGGTTGCTATCACTCAGCTTCTTGTCAATGTGCCTTAAACCATTGGAGGAATCCCTTCCTATCACTATTACAACAAAAAAAAGCACATTGCATAAAACAGGGAAATAATCCAGTCAGAATTTTGATGTCCTTGATGTCAAATACCTTGCTTATACTCAATCCCCTCCCTTTGAATGGGTCTCAGTACAGTCAGTGCAGCTGCAATTGAAAGTGCTGGACAATTAATATAGAAACAGTAGTTTCACTTGAATCTGCTGCTCTGAGGTTATTTTGGAATGAAGATTATGGTGAGACAGCACTAATCATCTGAGGGAGATGTATAACCACAGGTAAACATGTTTCTTGCATAAAAGTTGAGTAATGACCCAATGCAATCAGTTCAATGTTATGATCTATGTTATTCATCCATGACTAACTGCATTCCAAAGGTGATATTCCTATACTTACAACCAAAGAGATGCAAAGTAATCACCAAATCTCCACAAGCTTCAGCCCAGTCCTTAGTCAGCTCTTCTTCTCTATTCAATCATTGTTATGTAATATTTTCCATGTGGTATTTTAAACATAACCTTTAAGAAATAAACCTGGCGAGAGGTAATTCAAGACTGGGACTGCTGAACAGAGAAATCACACCCCTATCATTCTCAGAGTCGCCACAAATGTGAAAATTTGACTAAACACCAAATTGCCCAATTCTACCTAACTATCCAATTCAGATTACATGAAAATGCATAACAGGCTCTTAGCATTTACAAAAAAAGGCTTCTTTTTTACAATAAATATTATACTTAAAAAGAAACATGCATTGTTAACTTATAACTCTGTAACTTAAACTCTACCTCTTTCTAAAAAATTCCTGTACACACACAAATAGGCACATGATCAGGCAAGAGAAGACACAAATATTATGGATGGAGAAGGGAGAATAAAGTCAGAGAAGATTAGTTCTGGCACCAGTCCAGATCACAGATTTAGGATGAGTTGCTTTCATTCAGGCCCTTTTAATTCCTTTCAATTTCTTCTGATTCTATGTTATGACATGAGATTGTATGTATCCCAATTCTCAGGCTTTCATTCACTGGCAGTTGATTCACCCTTTCAGTGATTCTGAAGATGGTTTTCCTTTTTCCTTTCAACTGGGATTTGCAGAGAGATCCACTTACAAGAAAATGTATGGAAGCTACTTGCAATTTCCTGTTACTTCTTCACACAGAAGAACAGATAGAGAAAGAGATGCTTTCATTTTGCAAGCTGGATATTTCTGCTCTATTGTCTACATCTGGCTTTAGCCACATGTCCAGGAGCTGATCAAGTGGTTGTTACTATGCTCAACCCTCCTGAGCCCACAACAATTAGTGCTGATGGAAAAAACAACCAGAAGACTGTATCTGTACAAAATTGCCCTGAATGCACGGGCAATGGCAATGAAACCTGGAATGTACCTTCACTGCTTGAAAAAGCAACACTGAAGGTAGAATTCATAATGAGCCCCAGTAATTTTTTTTTGAAATTGCAAACATTTACTTACACAGTTTCCTTGGTTAAAGTCGTATCTCATCCCTTTGTTAGTCCACAGTGCAAAAATATTTAGTACCAACTGCAGGATGCTTTGCAGAAACTCACCAAGGGTCCCTCAACAGCACCTTCCTCTACCACCTAGATGAATAGTAGATAAAACATCAACTGCACCTGAAGAACCATCAATTCAGTAAAAGATGTTCTTTGGTCTGCCTGAAACCTGTTGGTGTTCCACTGTAAAGAGTTTACCTCGACCGAGTGTTGTAGACTGGCACTTTCCAAGGCTCAGGACTATGTGCTGAGAGATGCACTATAGTTTGGGGCAGGTGGGGAAAGACTGCTGTCTAATGTCTTCGGCGAAAGTACAACCAAGGGTCCGTTCAGTTATCAGACTCTCTTGCTGCCTCAAAATGTATGTAATTAATTGATCTGCATGAGTAGGAAATGCCTTTCGTTTATGCATCTGCAGGGAATGTCAAATTCAAATGTTTGTTTTCATATGTTTTAGTATGTTGCGTATGTACATAAAGTTTTTTATGAATAATGTATATTTTTGCAAAAAAAATCTCAAACAACAAGAGTTGCATATACATGGAACACCATTACATGCATGTTCCCCTCCAAGCCACACACCATTCTATTTGATTATTCACTTGGCTCTGGATCAAAAGTGGTTCAAGTGACCATTCCAACACTAAATCTATGGTGATATTCCACTGCAGTACCGAGGGAGCCCTGCACTATCTGAGGTTTTGTTTCTCAGATGAGAAGTTAAACTAAGGAACTGTCTGCCCTCAAAGGTAAAATATGTTAAAAAGTCCCATGGCACTATTTCAAAGAGGAACAGGCTAACATTTATACCTCAACCAACATGTGGTCACATTCTGGGCTAATATCCAGCAGTGTAGTTACATCAGGATTGTGGAAGCCTGAAATAAGTTTACTGTAGCTGATAACCACCCCATCTGCTGGTTTAAAAGAGGTGCCTACAGCCGTCAAAGGAGTGTTCACACTTCTGCCTATCAGTATGTGAATCCTTCCACTATTTTACAAAAACAATAGTCTTCTAACAAAATCATGGGACAATGGAATCTGCAAATGTCACTTTCTCAGACGTTACATTATTAACTAAGTATTATTAACTACTAATATACTTTTATTAACCGCAGATGTCACATTATTCTCCCATCTTTCATTCAGAGAACATTCACTCCTCAAGCATTTACCAGTTTAAACAGTGTTGTGATACTCGCATTTATACATTATTAGTCAAGGATCAGTTATTTTTATCCAGCAAAGTTTGCAAAAATTTATTTGTTCCAACATTGAGTTGAAATTTCTGTGCTCTTTTCTATTCACTTAAAAAACAATTCATTGGCTCTAAATGTGCTGTCAAAATAGTGGTGAAATTCATTCACCATTATTTAAGTGAAAATGCAAAGGCAAATGTATAGTCAATGCTGAAATCCAAAATTTGATGTCCAAGTCGTATTGTTTCTCCTTTACCATCCCTAAACTGACATCATACTGTCTGCTTCAAAATTGAAATACATTGAATGCAGTGAATTTGTTTCATTTGCATGGCAAATATGAAACATAGAAAATTAATTCTTATTAACAAGTTGAAGGGCTCTTTCAATAATGTGATAAGTGATTTGGGATGGAAGTGACCATAGAACCAAAGTCTACTGTGATTCAGTCTGCCCTTAATCTAAGGCTTGCCTTGTCCCAGTCTTGTTAGCGTTAGACTGATTACTTGTCGTTATCTGCCCTGCTCTACCAATTATCTCAGTGTAAACATGATGAAGTAATTCCACTCTTTATTCATACAATATAAATTACTGAAGTCCAGTATACATGGTTGTTTCTACCAAAAGAAACTCCTTAAAGTTTCTACCTTAGACTTTCCTCTCTGAATGTTCTGCTTATGTAAGATAACTTTCAGTAGTATCATTAACTGATTTACATTAACACCACAACATGTGCTTGTTATTGCCAGTCAAGTTCTCTGACATTGAAATTGAACTGTTAAAATTGTAAAACTTCAAACTATTATGCTGAAGTGTTCGGGTTTTAAAAGTGTGGAATATTGTATTAAATTACTTTCAATTTTCCTGTGTCTGTAATCTCGTTCCTAATTCCCTCTTACTTCTCTTTCTATACCTGATTTGATATTGAATCCCCTCCTCACTTTAATGTGCACTTCCTTGTTCAGACCTTGCACACTTCAATTCATGATCCTTCAATCTGACTGATTAAGGAGAAACTTATATGCTCCCTATCCACTCAGGTTTTACAGGCCCCTATTTTCCTCACTCCAAGTTTATCAGCTTGTACATCAGCAGCTTGTCATAGAAAAAAAACAAAAATCTAAACATGCAAGGCTAAGTCTAACTAACAGCAGACATTGTTAGATGTCCAGCTACAGCAAATTATAGCTCATTATGTTGTGTTGCTGTTTATCTAACTTCTGATGTGCTTAGGGAAGCAACAAAAGATTGTCAACAAACGCCAGAAGATCTTGATAAATATGTACAGCATACCACAGGCAAGCAATTAAAGGGACTGTATACATGTTCCCTCTAAACTGTACAAATGCATGCTATGCAGGAATCTGGATCATATTGTTCAGGCTGCACATAAGCAACATTCCCTTTCAGATGTGGTCTTGCCTTACTGCATGACAAGCTTTAAGTATTGCAGAGTGTAGCAAGTAGGCCATGCTTAGCAAAGAGAAACTAGAGTGAGCACTTGGTCCCCATAGGTCTTCTCTAATCTTTCAACTTTTGCCTCTTCTACCAAAAACTCTTATCACAGTAATTCATGGTACTGAGCACTCACCTAAAAATCAACTAAATGGATACAATCCTTCTCTCAAAGGGCCAAAGCAGGGCCTGGGCTCTTGTGCCATGTTATAAAGGTTCTAATGACTCCTGTAACACAATATAGACATGAAAATTAGGCACACAATTAAGAAAATATATTCATATTACTTCTTTAAGATGAAACTTGTTGCTGTTGAGAAATAATTTTAACAAGGTGATCAGATATGAACTCCTAGATATGCAGTTGTACAACTCCCTGTGTCTCATCTACCAGACTCCACACCAAGTTGTGAGGACCTTAGGTGAAAAGTGAACTTGTTTCACAAAGGGAAGAGTTTAGGTCAAAGCAAAGATTCTGTAACTGGGAAGGCGAGTCAATCCCAAGCCGAGTATACCCTCTGCTAAACCCCCTGCCTTATGCCCATGCATTACTTATGTTGTGAATGGTTATGATACAACCTTCCAATTGGCACTAGATTCAAACTTCAAGAACATCAAGCTGTTTGGCCACTGATCCTGTGTAACCTCACCTGCCACCCTGAAGCAGTTATGTCATGGCTAATGTACAGACTCTGATATTTGGGAGGACAGTACTGGAGACCTTACCTGAAAACAAAACCAGCGCAAACCACTTGAAAATTGGGAAATGGCTATGATACACTCGGTAAACTTTCAGAGGGGTATTTGCATACATTCGAGGATCTATAAACCTTGGTTCTGTCAGCATGCCCCTAAGATTGCTACATTCAGGTCAAGAGAGTGGGCCAAGGGTAGAGACTGAATTCCATATCTGGACTTCTAGTTGTTTCTTCACCATGATTTATTGGGGTCATTTCTCCTTTCCCCATCCTCCCATCTGCTCTGGTACTGTTGATGTCTTTAATTCTGACAACATGTAGAAGAATCTGAAAAGTTTAATCTTGCTTTAGTACCCCCTACATGTACCCTTTCTTTTACTGGAGCTGTCCTAATGATCACACTATATTTAATATGGAATAATGGGATGCCAAAGGGTAAAAGGCTCTTGTTTCTTTGTTGTATTCATGAGATTGGCAAGTTTAATGACAGAGATTTTCATCACCTGAGTGACTATAAGGCCTGGCTTGGGAATGGTTTGTTTTAGAGGCAGAAAGTATCTGATGTAACATCGAGAAACACAATAACTTGAGTGGCAGTTTAATTTGCTTCTCCTTATTCACCTAATCCAATTCTGTAAAAGGGCAATGAAAAGTGAATTGTCCATGGGTCCTTTCTTTACCCTCTCTAATTCTGGCTGGGGAACACTGGGAGCCTGTTAAGGCGAATAATAGAGATGCTCAAACCAAGCTTGATGTGAGTCGTTCCAGCAGTGTGTGACAGCTTCATTCCAGGTCTAATCACTGGTATTGAACACTGGCTTTAGTGCATCTAAGGCCTTTTGTTGGCTGCCCCAATGAAACTTTCTCACAACCTCCACAGATCAGTAACCCACTGGCTATGACTCAAATGACCTGCTCCACTCCCTCCCCCACTCCTCACCTTGGAAACTTGTACAATTGAATTCAATGGCCTGGATTTTGCCATATTGCCAATGGACAAAAGCATTTTGGATGGACACAATGGAGGCAGGACAAAACTGGAAATCTAAATTTGGGACCTGCTGGATGCCATTTTGACCGGTGCAGGAAGCATGGCAGGTCACAACCTGATGTACATTGCGACTGCCATGTGCTGCCAACTTCAATTTTGTATTCCGTTGAGTTTAGGCCTTTGAGGGAGGTGGATAAGTTCATTGAGGTGAGTGGGCCCAAGTAAACCACATCATGTCAGAGGAGTCTTGAAGAATGGGGAAGGCCTGTTCCAGGAGTCAAGAACCTTTTGACAGGCAAGTTTAAAAGTTGTTGTCAACTCCGTATGTCACAATTAGATACTATATAATAATTTAAGTGTATTTTTAACATGAGGAACTGCAGCCAGTCACACCTTCCTGTGGACATCATCGTCGGGGACACCAGACTGCTCCCTGATCTCCCACATCTTGCAGCAGGAGCAAACCACTGCCTTAACTGCTATCTCTGATCTTTCCTGGTAAGACAAATAACAGAATCTAACCTTACCCTTACCTCGCTGCTGATTGCCCTCCTCATCGAGGCCCAGTATTCACCACAGCCCACACCTAAACCTTTAGCAGCACTACTAGCACATGGCAGCCCTTCTCAAAATGACCACTCCCAAAATGGACAGTCCGCTATAGCTTGCCTCCCTTTGATTCGCTCCTGGGTAGTCGTTGGTGACTGAGCCTGACACCTCCCAGAATCCTCCTCAGTCACTTCTCAGCAGCGCCCTCTGATCACTTGATTTCTATTAGCTTTTGGTGCATGTAAATGAAGTGATTGTTTTGAAGCGACTGGAGGCTTTTCTATATGTGATGGTCCCACATTGATCAGCGGTGAGATGTTGCCAATGGTGGGCATTAGGCAAAGAGTAGAGGCGGTTTTATGATATAACATGGCGAAGGACTGGTGAGACCTGGTGCTTTAAAAGCAATAGATGCGGGAAAGTGCAGTTGCATGTGCAAGGAAGTATCAGTTGCACAACTTTGTGCTATGTGAGACATTGGTTTATGCCAAGTTAAAATCTGAACAGGGTAATTCGACGACTGTGTTAAAATGTAATACCCTGATGATAATGCTGTTCTTTAGAAACATATACAGACTGATCCGAGATATACAATTTTCTAACCTTTTCATGGATTGCCAACTTGCTTCAACGGGGAGATTTGAGTATTCAGTTGATCCCAGGTGCGAAGCAGTCAGGAGTTCTCAACTCCTAGCAGGGCCACCCATGACGGTAAAGTCGGAGAGGAGGAACCAGACAAAGCGCAATCCAAAACAAATCTTCGACAGTGATCCAGGCAGAAGGTATTTGTCTGATATGAATAGCTGCGATGATAGATGAAGACTGCAGCAGGAGGGAGAACCCCAGTCATTGAAGTTTCTTTGCCACCCTCTGTCTGTGTGTGCACTGACATGCTGCAACATTCCCACGTTGAAAGAGCTCCCCGCACAAGGCATTTATGTCTTTCTAATCCAGGATTTAGGAAGGCTGCAAAACCTCCTCAATATGAGAAATTAGATTTGCCATGATGAATGACGAAAAGTGAAGGCAACAGTTGTAAATGAACTCACATTCAGAAGAAAATTGGAGTGTTAAAAACTCAACTAAACTGAGCAATTGGGTGAGTTTTTAAATCAACTAGATCTTGTTCCCACTTGCCATAACAGATCTCATTGAAGAACAGGGAGATTCCCGCCAATGTTCTGATCAATATTTATTGATCAGTGAAATAAATTATCTTGGGGAAGAGAGTGGGAGAGATGGGGGATGGGGGACAGAGGGAACCGCCTGTGGGCGGTTGCTCGGTGCAGGGACTGGCCTGGGGCCCCCGGAACCCGGATCGCCTGCCCCTCTGTCCCTGCCCGGTCGCCTTTCCGTGTGACACCGGCGGAGTGAATTCGGGGCTGCACCCGAGCAGGAGATGGAGGTGGATGGGGAGCGGGAACGGGAGCTTGGCGGGTCCAGCCCTAGTCCAGGGGAGGAAGAGGAGGAACTTTGTTGGCGGCGGCCGCCGCCGCGGCACCACCCCAAGGTACAGGGGGACGGAATGGAACCGCTAACCCTGCCCTTGGCACCCCCTCAGGCCCACTCTGTCCCTCCCCATGTGTTCCCCCACCCCCTCAGACCCACTCTGTCCCTCCTCATGTGTTCCCCCACCCACTCTGTCCCTCCTCATGTGTTCCCCCACCCACTCTGTCCCTCCTCATGTGTTCCCCCACCC